TTTTTGTACCTTTCTCCTAGTCCATGTGGTCCCATGATGTATTCACATACGGTGTTGCCCAATCCAACCTTGGCATTTAGATCTCCGATCAGAATAATCAAGTCCTTTGTTGGGAATTTCTCAAAGGTTAACTGCAACCAATCGTAGAATCGATCTTTAACGTCTTCATTGTAATCGTTTGAAGGCGCATAGAATTGGATGACGTTCATTGAAATGCCTTCTTTCTTTGTTATAAAGAAGACTTTGATGATCCTTGGTCCATGAGATTTCCATCCTATAAGTGCATTTCGTGCTTGTTTTGATAGCATCAATACGATATATGAGGCATTTTATCTTGATGTCCAGAGTATAACTGAAGCTCACCTAGAGCTAATCGTTGTTGTCGAACTCTACTGAATGAAGACCTTCTGGCTCACAGGGAAAAGTTCAGGTGGTTTTAATAATTTTTTTCTGGATAGCGTTTTTTTAGCGAGTTAGTTTTCTATGGATGGGGTCGCTAACCACATGCCCAACCCTCCTCCTTTATCTGGGCTTGGGACCGGCAGTAGCCCCAGAGGGAATACAGGCGAAGTTTGTCGTCCGACATAGTGTAAACACATTTTCTACACAGAATGATACAAATTCAGTATATTTGGAATGAGGCTAAAAGTAGCATGTTTCATCTAGTAGCATGTACGTGCATATAAGTGTTAATATTCACATTGCAACCTGAACTCAATGCTTTTCACTTCGAATCGCAAACACATTATTTATTGACCTACTGAGCACAAACAGTCACATTACAAAAATATTAGAACTTATGACAAAAGGGTATATCTATGCAATCCACTGACGATACACATATTATAGCAAGAAACACTGATCAATTTCAGTCTTGACTAATGACAATGTGAAGTCACAAACTATTACTAAGAATGTTTCAAAGTTTATGTTATTTGAAAATAATATTCATTACTCATCTACTAAACGGTTGAAAATGATGGAGCACTGAAAATCTGTTCCATTTTAGTGTATGTATACTTCAATGGTGGACATCAATTATCTCAGACATGATAGAACACAGAAAATTCTGGGTCATAATGTGTATGATTCATCTGGATAAAATATCGTTTGAAAGCAGTAACCTACATTTTTAATTTCAGCTGATTGATGAAACAGTTCAATCTTCATGTCGCCGATGTTTAACGGTCTCACTACCTAATTGATTAGCTCTGTATATCATAGGTTTGTATGTGATGAGAATGACTTTGAAATTCATGTTACCATTTCACTATGACTCTTATCTTTTCAATTAAATCGGTTCCTAACTGTGGGCTTCAACTGAGACGATGTACTGAAGGCCTTTGACACCTTAGACATGGAAAAGTTAGACAAACTGGTCGCCATTATTTAGTTATATTCAGCTCACTTTGTATATGGTATTGTCCATTCAGTGCTACTCGTATAAATTGTTTTGGATAGTTTATATCGTTATTACATGTCACTAATCGCCCGTAAAGAAACTTTCTGATGTAGCCAGCTTGGTGTATTACTTAATTTTCTCTAGGTCAAACCTACATATGCGTTACCGACAATCCCAGATTTTACAGAGGCTTTAGAAAAAATAATTTTGTTGTGTCACATCCATGGGATTCAAAGGATATGTTCTGAGGGTAAACGGTTGAAAAGGTGGCGAACCTAAAGGAAGTTCCGCAAAAACAGATACCCAAGTATTTTCACTTGGAAGCACATACTAAGGCCGAGACTCGGGTATGCATGCTGAAAGTTCTCCTGTACTCACTCTCTGAGAGATCAACCATTTCTGCCATCCTAAAGGTGAAATCACTCATCTCGACATTGTCATTTACTTGTATCGTGTTGGTGTTGGGTTTAAGATAAGATAATTGCTACATATTTTAGTCTACACATTTGGCTTTTAATGGTTATATTTGTTTTGTATGGTATTTCACTGATTTTCCTATGATATGAAGCTGAGTATGACAAAAGCGATGTAGGATTCTTTTGAAACGTTTACGTAAATGCGTTCCAAATCCTCTCGAAATGCAAGCTAGTAGTGGCATTGGTCACTAACCAACCAATTCTCAAAGCTGAACATGAGACGATTGGGAAAACAGACTTTCAACATTTAACGCAGAGAATAACAAAACGATGTAGAAGGCGGGAAGAATGAGTTGAATTAATTCTAATTGGTCGAATGGCATGTCTCGGCCTTGTAGGTGTGGTCTTACTTATGCAGCATTATTTTTATCAATATGAAATATACTGTTCTATCCCCACTCTAGGTGTGTTTTCAATAATGTATTGATGATTGTTACAACGCGATGAACCAGGGTAGACAATGATGTGACTTTCAATAAGATCTTATAGATTAGGCAGTTACATTAACAAATCTACAATTTTAGGATAATGTCTATTATTAGAGCAGTACTAACATCGAAGCAGGACATAATTCTACAAGCTTTCGTGTTATAACTTGTTGCTTTATTTATCTAGATCACTTTGTCTGCACATTCCATCGATCTTTTGGTGACAGGTGGGACGATTAATGTAAGATCCTTTTTAGAGGTTTTGTGTATGAAAATCCCTTCACACACGCATTGTTGTAATTTATTCCTCTTGATTCCTTCAGATGCGAGGCCGATTTATTAAATCCACCCATGTTTATGAGGACCAACATTTTGTTTGTCACAGTCTTTTTATGACCAATAACGAAGTGATCAATCGGTGATACTGAGATCGTTCTCTTACACCCACTATTCACCCTCATTTTATCAATTTTGCGCTCGATTAGCTATTCTACTAGGACAACCTGTAACATGCTAACTCCGAATTTTAGAATAGGAGATTGTGGCTGACATTAGACAGAAAACTCTTTAAAAGACCAGGTAATAAAAGATATAGTTATTGGTGTGCCTTAACGCTTTGCAGCCTCGGTGATCTTTTCGTTCCAATAAACAGCCTTTTTTATTCTAACTTCAACCTCTCTTCTATCATTTGAACTTAATCCACCCTGTTAAATATCACGAAACACTGTTCTTTATTACCTCATTCTTCTATCTGAAGGCTCTGACCAAATTTCACTCTAGCAACACGAGCTAATATGAGTTCAATCTACTAATTAGTCACATCTTTTCCTGTTCCACTACAAAACGTTAAGTATTGTTTAGCGTCTATATCCAAATGCTTTGTTGCTCCTTTATCACTTTTTCAGCATCACTTTCTCAATGCACAGCTATGGAGCTTCTGACACCCGGAACAAACTTAACATATACCTTTTTTCAAGGTCGTAGCTCTCATCAAGCACTCTACAAACCTACTTTATAACAACTAAAAGCTTGAAAATTTGTATTGAACAGATATTTAGCGCGACCAGAATCCCTGCACAATTACCCTGGGTATGAATTTGCCGTGCAAAACGGGTGTGATGCTAATTTCGAAAAAAATATTTTAAAAACTATACTCAGTGTAAACCTAATAATTAATTCTCTGAGACATCTGCACGAATAGACTCTGTAGCGGTAAATAAATCCCCAAAATAAATAGCACTAAGTTTTCGACATTGGATGCTGACCATACGTTTTAGTGGACTCACCTAGCTGAAGGCGCTCGGTCAGGCATCCGCACCAGATCACGTGTGGTAACGCCGTGCTCAACATCAACCGCAATCGCTAGCCAGATTAGATCAGAGAATTCCGATATATTGGTCATCGCCAAATATACTCTTCCGATCTCCTCGACTCTGTCTTTTGATTTCTCTGGGCGGGAACGAAATATATTAGAAGGTGTTACTGGTAGAAGCGTTGTCAAACACTGAATACCTGTGACATCATCAACTCTTTTTTATTGATCTCATCTATTTATTAACTATGCTTGGGAAGCTTACTGTGGGCAAACTAATGTTGTAAATTATAGATCATGCCTATAAAAGTGGCATGCACCTGCCCTGGCAGAAATATGTTGTATTATACCATGTGCACTTTGTTGATCATTTGATTTCATTTGAAATGGTACTATTTGTATTTTATCATAGTTTTTATTTTTCATGCATTCTCACTGAGTCCCCATGTTTTTTGAACTACATTTATGTCACTTTAGTTAGCATTTAGTTGCAGCCCAACAGAAGCCCCTGTAGCGTGGAGTCGAGTCGACATTGACTATGAACACCGCCACAGAAAAACGCGTGCCAAATGACTCCAAAAAATCCCGCGGAGACCAAGTATCAGAAGGCGGTTAATGGACCAAGTCGATATACATTTGCTGGCGATCTCGTGGTATCGAAAGGATACCGAGATCGTGCCAGGATACAAGCTTGGTTACAGAATGTAACCGAATTCGAGCGAAGTCACAATCAAAATGTGTGAATAATGGATGCTCTTTAGCACAGTTAAACAAAAGCACATTAAAACAGTCACTGGTACAATTGGTTATAACAATAATTGTTTTCCATAAACCAATGGTGTTCTCGTGATAAAAGTGAGTCACTACACCCCCAAGAACATTAGTCTCTAAGAGTATAGGAAAATAAGAGGTGGTTTGAGAATGATTTCTAACATTATAGATATGCCTAGAGATACTTCGAAGCCTTTATTCCGACCCTAATGCCTGCCATATAGAGGTAAGATAGCATATCAGGCTGTATTGTAAGCGTACTTGGTGCTTATTACGAATCAAGTCGTGGAACGAGATTGGGTTTCCCGGTCGTCCTTCAAGAACCAACCAAATGTTCCTTTATGGATTCAGTATAACATCTCGTATCGATTTACTGAGGTTTACCGCATGGTGACACTAATGGATCATAGTTAACAAACACAGGAGATCGTCTAGTAAAAATTTCTATTCTACACACGAACATTAAAACCATTTGACATACTTCCAGGGTCCACCGTTATTGTTTTACACTGTTCAATCGAGGTCGGTTAAATTATTAAACTATTTTTTCACCATTATTTATTTTAGGAAGTTGTGTTATCATAGTGAATAATAGACATATTTGTTTTAATGACCTTAGGGCGTTCAACCTCCTAGGTCGCCGTATAGTTAGCCACTTATGCCTCCCATAGTTGGTGGTGCGCCTCCTCTGAGGGAAGTACGAGCGCTACAGTTCGGTATACTCAGCCCAGATGAGATTGTGAGTTTTCAATTCTAATAAGTGACTAGGGTTTCAAAGTTATGTGTTGGTTTAAAATCGATGGTAGACTTAGTTCATGTCACTAAAGTTTGAATTGGCCTTAAACTTTTAATATGTAAATACAGATTCAGATTTGTGTAGTAAGGATATAAGGCCCACGGCCTATGTTGTTCCTTTTCTAATATGCTTATGTGTGTCTAGTCTTCTCTTAAAAGAGTCAATTGAAGGCGCGGACACCACTGCTTCGGGCAGTAGGTTCCAAGTATTGATGACTCGGTGCAAAAACCTGTATGCCACAGGTATTTTGTTTGTTCTTGGCTTTTCTACTCGCCTGCTACGTCGTCTGAGATGTCCGAATTTAGTGGGAAGAAAAAGAGAATAAGCTAGGTCCAAAATCATTTCTCAGCTTTCTGTACACCAAAATTAGATCTCCCCTTAGTCTGCGATAGGACAGAGCAAAGTGGTCCAGCTTTTAAAGTCGCTCTTTGTATGGTCAACCCTGGAGTTCTGGAATTGCACAGGTAGCTGCCCTCTGTACTTATTCTAGGATATCTGAGTCACCTTTAAAACAGGGGCTTGTAGCCTGAACGCAGTTCTCAAGCTTAGTTCCCACTAAGGTTGTATGTATTGTAGTAAATATGGTGGTATCTAGCTTAATGAATGTCTGTTTTAAAGCCCAGAGGGTTCTAAACCCCTTAGCTGCAACCTCCTGGTAATGGGCCGCCGTCTTAAGATTGGCTCACTGTCACCCCTAGATTCTTATGAGACCGGACCACGGGTACTGGCACTTCTCCTATGCTGCACCCATTAACGTTTGTATCCCCAAAGTGCATGTAGACACTGCCGCGCTAATAGGCATCAGCCACTCTTTAGACCAGTTAATCATATTATTTAAGTCTGCCTGAAGAGCGCATGCGCCTGCAGTTGTTACTCGCCAGGCTTTCACATCGTTAGCGTATAATAACATTGGAGACTACTATGCTTGGTAGATCATTTACTTACAGTATAAGAAGTAAAGGACCTAGGACGGAACCTTGAGGTTCTCCAATAAGTACTAGTCTCCAGATGGAGCACTTGGAATTTATTCTTAATTTCTGTCTACGACCTACTGGGAAATCCTTAAGCCGTTTTAAAAGAAGTCCGGCAATACCAAGATTTTCTAACTTCAATAGCAATCTATTAGTTGGCACCTTGTCAAAAGCCTAACTCAAGTCTATGTAGATAATATCCACTGAGTTTCCATTGTCTAGTGCCTTTATCCATAATTCCCTTGCTATAAAAAGGTTCGTTGTACAACCTTTTTCTAAAACCATATTCGCTGTTCAACAAGTTATTGGTTCCCATAAATGTCATTATGGTCCGTTTGACTATTCTTTTCAATATTTTAACTAAAACACTGGTGAGGCTTACCAATCTGTAGTTCGATAGAAGTTGTCTTGGTCCTGTTTTATGCATGGTAGTGACGATTGCGTCCTTCCAGTTCATAGGTAACACGCTTTGGTCAAGTGACATATTGAATATCACAGTCAATGGGGCTGCGATATATTGTGCATTATATCAAGATTTTGGGGTGTAGTTCATATGATCTTATTGACTTTTCTATGTCTAAGGTGCTAAGAGCCCTAAGTACATCGTCTTAATCGAAGTACATGGTGAGCAGGTGTTCTGTTGACTGTTTTTTTGATCTGGCTCTTTGTTTAGAGGAGGTTCCTGAGTGAATACAAACGATCTTATTATACAGTCCCGACAATGATTCGTGGAAACGTTGCGTACTTGAATCACTTTCGGAATGTCCTACGTACCCTACTGAGATTGGTTTTAGCCGATAGGGAACGCGTGTATGGAGAGATTTGACCATGCACTAAAAACTTTTAACATTCCTTCACAACAAAAATTCTCGCAATTAGACTTACTAGTCATCTGCCTGATAGTTCTTCAGGCGTCTTCCCCTCGTTCTTCATGCCGTTGAGCTCTGCGAATTTTATGTGACTTGAAATGATATTGATCGTTGTCTCGCTACGTTAACTCCCTATCACACAAACCAAATCCGCCTACATGTAGTTTGATTAGGAGCTCCTGTTTTATTTTTTACACATGCAGCAATGGGTCTAAGTACAAATATTTACCGCAATCCCGCTTGCAATCTAATAGTAGATGGGTGTTGTAACATCCTTCACTTATTAACTCAAGACAACTGTCAACCAATATCAAAATCAGAACCTCCAATACGAATGTCGAGACAATTCTATTGTACGGAGCTGAAACTTAGTGAGCTACTATCATCATCAAAGAAGTACAATTATGTATAAGCAATTGTCTATGCAAGATACTCAATGTCCGTCGACCGGATGTCCTCAGCAACAACTTTGTATGGGAGAGAACAAACCAGCTTTAAGTTGAAAAGGAAATTAGGAAAGGACGCTGGAAGTGAATAGGGCAAACTCTACTGAAATCATTAAACTGCATCACGAAGCAAGCGCTAACTTGGAATCCTGAAGGGAAACGGAAACAAGAATGACCATTAGATGGTGGTTGGAGGTAGTCGACAGAAAACCATGGACCCGGGTTTCGTGCTACTTGGCACTCGTCAGCAAGATGTAGCTGTAATCTTAAGGGAACTGGTGCCTCCCTGACGGATTCGATCCCGTGCCACCCAGCTTTAGTCAGGTACGTTACTACTGAGCTATCGATAGCATTCGATCTGCACTAACAAGGACTTGACACACATGACATATATCACCACCCAGTGATCAATCAGTTGTGAGAGAATGACTATGGAATACACTGTGTCGGGATTTAGAAGCAGACCACAAGGATGAATAACAAGTAGAAGCATTTGAAGGGGATTGTCCAGGACAGTTGGATAAAGAATGCTGGTCGGCGGCTTATGCTCCTCGGTGAGGGGTAACAGGCATAAGAAAGTAATTTACGTAGAGAGGTAGTACGATCTCGAACAAATAGATGAATGAAAACAAGTGCACGGGAGAGTGTGAAATGATAGAAGTAGTTCCGTTAAAAAATGTACAACTGGGACCATTTCAGTTGATGTTCCTTTCAGTTTTATGGATTAAGAGGAAATTATGACAGATAAGCCATTGGTTTTTATTCTGAGCTATGTCTAATAACGTATCAAGCTACTATGTTGCACTATCTCTTTAACCTTAACCAGGCAGTTGTGATAGACTAACAGATTGTCATACCCCGACACCATATTTTAAACTGATCATTATCAATGAAGAAAGTCTATGTTTGCCTGATTGAACCGTTGTGTGTGCATAGTTCATTCCAGACATCTTATACTAAAAAGTACTTTAAACTCATACCATCAGGCTCTGAACACGATGAAGAACGAAAACAAATAAGTTCTAGGTCAAACGAAAGTCTAAGTAACGACCGTGAGCAGTGGTGGGCAACAAAAGCAAGAGATAGAAAAGGCAGTGGCTGTAGGTAACATCAGATGGCTTCTCAGACTAATAAAAGAAATTGGAGTTAAGAAGTCGAGTGTAAGTGAGATCTCAGAAAAAGACGACACTTACCTACTCTCAGCCCAGACGTTTAGAACGATAGACGGAACACTTTTAGGAACAGTTCAGTTGACCTCCAGCTACTCTACAAATACCCACCATTACCAAACAACCTGGGCGGAACATTGACGTAGGTCCTCCGACCCTAGTTGAAGTTCAAAACCCGTAGTTAATCTGAAACGAGAAAGGGCAGCTGGTCCAGGTGGATTGGCTCCAGAGGTCTTTAAGGATGGTGGTCCAATTTTAGCGATTAGGTCAGCTAATATTTTAGCTAAAATCTGGGAGTTAGACGTTATTCCATCTGACTGGTCACAATCGCTGGTTGTCCCAATATATAAGAAGGAGTCAAAATCATGTTGTGCTAACCATAGAGCGATTACTTTGACTAACACAGCATCTAAAATACTAGCCTCAATAATTTTCGGGCAACTGACAAAGACTTGTGAACTGCAAACACGAGAAAATCAGGCCGGTTTCAAACCTGATCGTGTCTGCATCGACCACATATTCACCATTCGTCAGGTTCTAGGACGCAGGCATGCTTATCGGCGTCCGACAACGATAGTTTTTCTTGATTTATCAGCAGCATTTGACTCAGTAGACCGAGAGGTTCTGTGGCAGTGTCCATCATTGAAAGGTGTACCTCAGAAGTACATAAAGCTTGTGAAGGCTCTTTACTCGGACACTACCAGTAGAGTCAGAGCTTATGGCGAACTGTCATCTGATTTTGCAACCTCAATTGGTTTCCGTCAAGGCTGTCCACTGTCCCCATTTTTGTTCAACTCCATTATAGACCTTCTGCTGGAAATAACGTTTTCGTCTGAATTTGCAGGAATAGATCTATCAGGATGTCCACTTCTCGACTTAGAATACGCGAATGACATGGTCCTGTTTAATGAAGGCGCTGGTAAAATGAAGAGTCATTTGATAGCATTGAACAACAATGCCAGGATGTTTAGGATCCCTTTTCTCTCGATCTAAATGCAAGTTGTTGCTTCAGGATTAGTCTGCGTCAACACCTGAACCAAGGATAGAGAGTAAAATAGTCGAACGCGTCGACAACCTCACCTATCTTGGTAGTCAGCCCTAATGGATTGGTGTCTGACGAAGTTTCTGTACGGATTCAGAAAGCTCGTTTGGCTCTTGCCAACTTACGTCACCTATGGCGAAGTCATTGACTTCTGGTTTGAACCATGTTAGTAGTTGCAAACTACTTGATCGGGGTCCGCGCGACTATCGTAACCAATGGTTGGAGACACTGGGTGACATGGCTCAGAATCGACTACAATGGGGTATGTGTATACAATCTTTGTCTTCCCTTAAGGTGTGAGACTAAAATAGCTTTATACCTTTCTGTCTACGAACTAATTCTTCCTTCCTGTATTATATCCTTATGTGCAATCTTTCTTTTATATATTCCTACCATTGAAGTGACTACTTGTATAAATTTGGTGTCCATCTTGTTTTACTAATGGGGTATGTCAACTTCGATGAATCCATATATATTCCTGATCATACGTTGTAGCTGACTTGAATGTTTCGGACTAAATCTAGGATTAAGTGGAGTGGTTGACAAGATATTATTTACTTTGATAGTTTTGTGCTCAAAAGTAATAAATAAAAGGATATATCGAGCCAGCGAGATGTGTTAAACACACTGATTATTACGGCTATGAAATGTAAAACAGAGCGACCAGGTATTGTAAATCACTATCACTTGTCTCACAGATTGCTGAAGGTTCTAATTTTTGTAGAGGTGAAAATATAATACACTATCATAAAAGTTGATAACAAATGATATGACATGTGTCTGAGCATTAGTAAAACCATTAAGTGTCTTATGTCAAGTGCAATAAAAATCTATTTAAGCCTCATTTTGTCGGGTCGTATGTCAATCAGTTATTCAGTAGTAACCACTTTTAGGATACAAATTTCTAATTAACTTCTTTAAATAAATCATTGCCATTCACTAACCTTTTATAGAAAGAATTATCCGTCACTGCAGATGGTGGAATCAAGTATGCAGAGACCATGGAAGGAGGGAAACCAAAACTTGGTGGGTTGATGGATCCTCGTCAGGGTTGTGTAGATCGTAGCTCTATCTGTCAAACATGTAGTGGCAGTGTATCATCTTGCCCAGGACATTTTGGTCACGTGGAACTTGCGAAACCCGTCTTCCACATTGGCTTCCTTAAAAAAACTATGAAGGTCCTACGCTGTGTCTGTTTCTACTGTTCAAAGATTCTAGTTGATGTGCAATCGTCAAGGATCCAAGAGATACTACGCAAAACAAAAGGCGATAATAGACGAAGAATGTCTTTTATGTATGAAGAGTGCAAAACACGATCTGAATGTATATCTAATGATGATCAAGTCCAAAGCGAAAATGATGTCAGCCTCAGTAGTAAAGTGAGTTTCAGTCTTCATAAACTCTTATTCTTTTTTGTAACCACTGTTTGAAGCACGGAAATTCGCATTAACTTCAGAATGTACGTGAATAATATTTACGGTAATAGGTGTTAAGATCTATCTGTTCAGAATGTCTGGATCCCGCTAAATTTGAAGTACTAGACGGGCGTATATTTAGTGTAGGATATGTGAACTGTCACATCCACATGTTTATGAACACTTGTAGTCTCTAGACAGTGGGTCATATGATGAGTATTTTGGTTGAATGTAGTTGGAAAAGTAACATACCCACCAGAAGCAGCCTGACACTAAGGGCTAATCTGATTATTTTGTTAGCGATCTTCGATTCATTTCTAATTTACATGCAAGAAAACGCAGTCATATTATAAACTGTATGTTTATGAAGTAACTTTTCTAAAAGATTATAATTTATTTTTTAATCAGTATATATATGAGGTAACATCCGATTGTCATAATGGGTCTTGATTTGGTTGATAGGAATCTAAGTTTTTTTCTGAGGTTGCTTTTGGTTTTTAAGAATTCAGAAAATCGTAAGTGCACATCGATGTTAACTTCGTACTCATATTTTCTTATGACGTCAATGTGATGCATATACATTTTCCATTATCCCGTGAATATATCATATAACTATGAAATATTTACAGAATTTACTGGATAATCATGAATTAATTCCCACCCATAATGTTAGTAATGAGCAGATAGCAAATTAGCTGGATATATGTTAATGTTGGTAAATCATAACGAGGTTACAAACAATCCCATTCGTTTTGTGGCTACGCTTTCGAACTAGTTATGTATAATCCTGCTCTTTTGTCTGTTTTTTTTGTCACGTAAAATGTTGACTTCATGTCAACACAAACGTTCAGTATAGTCTTTACGAAAATCGTAATTTTATTAACATGTTTTTGATTTAACAAGTTATTACTGGTGTACTTTAGTTAAAGAAGTAGCTCAGGTTAGTCGTATTCATGGCTTTGTCCAGATTCAATACATTATTAACTACAAACTGTAGGACAAGTTGAATGTCATTTAACAAGAGTATCTCAATTGTTTTTCTTATTATACAGGTAAAACGCTCTGGTTGTGGACGTTATCAACCTCGTTTTCGTCGTAATGGACTTGAGCTTACTGCTGAATGGAAAAAAGTAAACGAGGAATCACAAGAACGGAAGATTAATTTGACTGCTGAACGCGTATTAGAAGTTTTTAAGCGTATGTCAGATGAAGATTGCTTATCTCTCGGGTTTGATCCACGTTATGCACGACCTGATTGGATGATTGCGACTGTTCTGCCAGTCCCTCCTCTGTGTGTCCGTCCTGCCGTTGTGATGTATGGAGCCACTCGTAATCAAGACGATTTAACACACAAGCTTGCTGATATTATAAAGGCGAACAACCAGCTTCGTCGAGACGAACAAAATGGTGCAGCAGCCCATATAATTGCTGAAGACATCAAAATGCTACAGTTCCACGTCACAACCATGGTTGATAATGAAGTTCCCGGGTTACCTAAGGCGATTCAGAAGTCTGGACGCCCACTGAAGTCTATCAAACAACGACTCAAAGGTAAAGCTGGTCGTATTCGAGGTAATCTTATGGGAAAGCGTGTTGACTTCTCAGCTCGTACTGTTATCACAGCCGACCCCAATCTCAATTTAGATCAAGTGGGCGTCCCACGAACAATAGCTCAAAATCTAACTTATCCTGAGGTAGTTACTCAATTTAACATAGATCACTTGCAAAAGCTAGTACAGAATGGAACCCTTTATCCTGGTGCTAAGTTTATAGTACGTGAGAATGGAGATCGTATAGATTTACGATATCATCCTAAAGTTTCAGACCTAACACTTCAGGTTGGTTACATTGTTGAGCGGCATATGTTAAATGATGACTTTGTGATATTCAATCGTCAACCAACGCTTCATAAAATGTCTATGATGTGTCATCGTGTTAAAGTCTTGCCTTGGTCTACGTTTCGTTTAAATCTATCTGTTACTTCACCTTATAATGCTGATTTCGATGGCGATGAAATGAACTTACATCTCCCACAATCTGTTGAAACGAAAGCGGAAATAAGTCAGCTAGCCCGTGTTTCACGTTTAGTGATCACACCACAAGCTAATAAACCTGTTATGGGTATTGTCCAGGATACGCTAACTGCAGTAAATAAGATGACGCAGCGTGATGTCTTTTTAAATCGGTCTGAAATGATGAACTTATTAATGTACTTACCAACTTGGAATGGTCGTATGCCTAAACCAGCAATTTACAAACCTCAACGTCTATGGACTGGAAAGCAGTTATTTAGCCTTGTCATACCTGGTCGAGTCAATTGTATTCGTACGCATAGTACTCATCCAGAAGAAGAAGATATTGGCCCTTATAAATGGATATCTCCTGGTGATACTAAAGTTATTGTTGATGACGGAGATTTAATCTCAGGTATTTTATGCAAAAAAACACTAGGTTCTGGTGCAGGCTCTTTAATTCATATCGTTGCATTGGAGCATCATCATGATCAAGTTAACATGTTTTTCAATAACATCCAAACAGTGGTTAACAATTGGCTTCTTATAGAAGGACATACAATTGGTATTGCTGATACATTATATGACCAGGCAACTCGTCGGCAAATTAGTGGTACAATTACCAAAGCAAAAGACGCTGTATTCGAAATTATTGATCAGGCTCATAATTACGACTTACAGCCAACACCAGGCAATACACTTCGACAAACTTTCGAAAACAGCGTTAATAAGATTCTTAATGACGCTCGTGATAAAACTGGTAGCTGTGCTCAGCGCTCTCTATCTAAGTACAACAATTTCAATATTATGGTGGTCGCTGGTTCCAAAGGTTCTCGTATTAATATTTCTCAAGTCATCGCTTGTGTGGGTCAACAAAACGTTGAAGGTAAAAGAATTCCCTTCGGTTTTCGTCATCGTACGCTACCACATTTTATCCAAGATGATTATGGTCCTGAGTCTCGTGGCTTCGTTGAAAACTCCTACCTTGCTGGTTTAACACCCACTGAATTTTTTTTTCACGCTATGGGTGGTCGAGAAGGCTTGATAGACACTGCAGTCAAAACTGCCGAAACTGGATACATTCAACGTCGTCTAATTAAAGCTATGGAATCAGTTATGATCAAATACGATGGGACTGTTAGAAATCAAATCAACCAGTTAATTCAACTTAGATATGGTGAAGATGGGCTGGATGCAACCCATGTGGAGTTTCAGCGCCTTCCAACATTCAAACCGTCTAATGCTGTTTTTGAACACGGTTTTCGGTTCGACATTGGCAACGAAAGAGTTCTGAGACGATGTATGCCCGAGGATGTTGTCCGCAGTTTGGCTACAGATTCACAAACACAATCGGAACTAGAGTCAGAATGGCTGCAGTTGTGTTCTGATAGAGAAATACTTCGTTCTGTCATCAAAAAAACGGATGACTCCGTTGTTTTACCGTGTAACATTAATAGACTAGTGATGAATGCTCAAAAAATTTTCGAAATAGATCCGCTTTCAAAAACAAATATCCATCCCAGACAAGTTGTTGAAATGGTTCGAGAGACTTGTAAGCGTCTGATAGTTGTACCAGGTGATGATCGACTGAGCAAAGAAGCCAACGCAAACGCTACACTCCTGTTAAGCTCACTGATTAGAGCATCGCTATGCGCCAAAAAAGTAATCATTGACTACCGCCTTAGTTACGAGGCTTTAGATTGGGTGTTAGGTGAAGTTCGTGCCCGTTTTCAACAAGCCCATATTCACCCAGGTGAAATGGTTGGAGCACTAGCAGCTCAATCTCTCGGAGAACCAGCTACGCAAATGACTTTAAATACCTTCCACTACGCTGGTGTGTCTGCTAAAAATGTCACTCTTGGTGTTCCTCGTTTGAAAGAAATAATAAACGTAAGCAAACGTCCGAAAACTCCATCTATGACTATCTTCTTGACTGGTCAAGCTGCTAGAGATGCAGAACGAACAAAAGATGTTGTTGCACGACTAGAGCATACTACTTTACGTAAACTGGTCAACAGCACTTACATATATTATGACCCAGATCCCCAAAATACCGTCGTTGAAGAAGATAGAGAATGGGTATCCACATATTACGAGTTACCAGATTTTGATGTTAGCGCAATTAGCTCTTGGATGCTTCGCATTGAGTTCACTAGAAAAGGTATGACTGGTAAAAAATTATCAATGGAACAAATCGCAGATAAGATAACACGAGCTTTCGGTAATGATCTTATATGTCACATACCAGATGATAATTTAAAGCTGGTCATGAGAATTCGTATTATGAATAGTGACTTGGAAAAAGATTTTAAGGATGCTGATACCACCTCTGATAAAATGGAAGATGATACATTTCTTCGTTTTATTGAGGCAAATTTATTAACTGATATTACTCTCCAGGGAATACCTCAGATCACAAAAGTGTACATGCATCTACCTAAAACGCAAGATAAAAAGCGTGTGGTTATCAAAGATGATGGAAGCTTTGATACGGTTGCAGAGTGGATGTTAGAAACTGACGGCACTTGTCTGATGAGAGTTCTTGCTGAACGAGATGTAGATCCGGTACGCACAGTCAGCAATGATATTGTAGAAATTTTTGAAGCTCTTGGAATTGAAGCTGTGCGTAAAGCAATAGAATGTGAGATGCATCATGTCATTTCTTTTGATGGCTCGTATGTCAATTATCGTCATCTGGCGTTATTGTGTGATATTATGACTGTCAAAGGACATCTCATGGCTATTACTCGGCATGGTCTTAACCGTTTGGATACGGGAGCTCTGGCTCGTTGTAGTTTTGAAGAAACAGTTGACATACTTATGGAAGCTGCTATCCATTCTGAGTGTGATCCAATGGCTGGTGTCTCAGAAACTATTATGCTCGGTCAACTGGCTAGAATTGGGACAGGTTGTTTTGATTTGCTTTTGGATTCAGCCAAGTGTCAGGAAGCGCAACCTATACCACTCGGTGGTGTCTTGGGAATGGGTTTATTCAATGCACCAGGTTTCGAGGGTCTTGCTGCACTTGCTTCACCTGGATTGGGCTTGACTATGAATGCAGATGGAATACCTGTACTTGGGGATAGTGGTTATCATACACCATGGGATAACGCCCACTCACCTGTTGGTTCTGTGGATTCTCCAAGTTACCGTGGAGGCCTTGGCGGCGCTACAGCTCCACATAATGCTATGTTCTCCCCGGCTATGCGCTACGATTCTTCTTTATCTCCTGGTCGAAGTCCTCAGTTAGACAGTCCTCGTACTCCGGAAGCATTTTCACCAGCTGCATATGTTGGCTTCAGTAGTCCTATGTCTTTTATGGGTACTCCACAAACGGAATTGGGTTCACCTGGCTCTAGTCCTGGACATTCTGGGAGCCTCAGTAGTGGTTCTTTTGGGTATGGAGGTCCTGGAAGTCTTCGTGCCGATATATTTTCACCCATACATAAACCATCCTACGCTGGCACAGGCAGCAGTTCAAGTTTCAGTGCTAGTGGGGATAGCAACTCACCAACGTTCTCATTACAACAATCCTATGAACCTATGTCTGTCGGATACACTCAACGTTCTCCACACCATCCCAGTTTTTCAGGATATGGAATGATATCTAGTGGGTCTCTTGGTCCGTCCAGCGATTCACCCGATAGCATAAATTATTCTTATAGCCCGAACAGTCCAATGCCTACAGGTGGGGGTAGTTCAATGAGTCGAGATTTCAGCGGTTGGGGCGTTTTGCCTGGCTCAGAAACTCCTGGAGTCTCTCCAAGTTCACCTTCACCCGGTATGAGCGCAAGCAGTTTAAGTGGTAGCAGACCATCTTTTTATCCAAATAGTCAACCTGCTTCACCACTATCATTTAATGCTTCTCCTTCTGCCCCTCGTTACAGTCCTCCGACGTTAGCTGGAAGTTCCTCAGTGGAAAGTTATTCTCCACAGATGACTACCCCCAGTTCTCCGGGTGGTGCTCCAAGTGGAACTTTGGGAGGACCAAGTAATTCTCCACTTTCTTATCCAACTACTCCAAACTATCCTATGTCTCATGGTTTAAGTACTGGAACTGGCCTGGGATCTTCAAGTCTTCTGGGCTATTCAGGTACTGGTTTCTCTGGATCCACCCTTGGCACCTCAGCATATAGCCCATCAACTTTCCATACTCCTTCATCACACTACTTTATGACCACTCCTCGACCAGGTTCACCATCTCCCAGTCCACGAGAGTATTATCCAACTCCTGATACACGGCGATAATAAACTATAGTCCAGTGAATCAGAGTTCTAAATAATTTCTAAGATAACTGTACATAAATATGTTTTAAATATGAAATCATCTGAGGTGATTCAAAATTAACATTTTTTTATCGTTTTTTCTAAGTTCCTACTTTAAAAGTTGTATCATTGTCATACTTTAATAACATTAAATTTCAGCGAAATCACTGTCGTTTGTTCTGATAAACCCTCTAAGTTAAGTCTTTTACACTCGACATACTAAATTTCAAGCAATAATTAGGTGTACTGATATGGTTATATTGAACCTACAGTGAGAGATCAACTGTTAAATAACTATCTTTTGGTATCGTGTTTTGATTCATTTAAGGATTCTGTATGTAGTTAAGACAACTATATCGAAATTTAATTCGGTTTACTATATATCTCATAAAGATGGTGTCTACTGGTCTCAATGAAATAATAAACTTCCGAAGTTCAAAACAATCCATTTGTTTGTAACAGTTCTGATTGTATGACCATCATTAATATTCTATTTTAATGAACTTAATGACAGAATTTAAAATTCTGTTTTTTACTAGTAATTTTAGGGCTTGTTCATGTCTCTGGAGTCAACAGACACTTAAAAATTGTGCAATAACACAGTGAAACTAATGTTTTGTTTCTCATGCTAATACCAAACTGTGAAGTAATGACAAAACACTATAGCATATGAGGGTATTACCTTACATAGTTCTCATCTGATCGATCTCATTATGTATATTAGTGGTTAGCATATTTGTAATAACAGACTACGGTAAAGTAAAATTCGAGCTTTTCATCTAGAATGAATACCCTTTCATTTATAACGTAGTGTTATACTTGTTATTGTGAATGTGTTTAGTCATTTTAAAACATACGAATAGAATGCAGTGATTCAGTACTTTACATTTTATAACTTAATGACTTTAATCCTGTAGAGTAAACTTACTGTGTATATGATGTATTCATGGGACAAATAGTTATATCAATAGTCCTATCATACTGCTTAGCATACTATTATCATCCTTTAAATTGTAGCTTCGGACACATTGTGAAGCCATTTTGAGAAGTAATTAGTGAATGCTCAAATTTTTTGGATCTAGAATAACTAGTTCGTGCTATTATCAAGTATATAAAGTAACTTTTATAAGAATCTCAGGAATTTAGTGAGGACGATGTAGTACCTGAGCGTAGTCATTTATGCATTTGCTGTTTGTCTATCAGATTCTCACTTGTAAGGTGAGAATCAGACAACTAGCCCATAAAATATGGATCGTTTCACGTTATCTGCAAACTGGATTCCTGCAACTCTGAACTAGTCAGATATATTTACAGGAGCAATTACTGTAGATGGTATGAAGCCCTTTGAAGAATAGTTAACAGACAAGCGTCTTGATATTGAATATTAGTGGTTTAATCCCCTTAGATCCTGAAAAGTTTCGTACCCAACATTCATCAGATGCGCACCATTCGACTAATGTTATCGACTAGTAAAATCATAATTAACATCTGATATTTCAAGATGTGTGAGGCGATTTTATCTTACGACATGAAAGATGCGTTTTAACTCAAGGGATAAATTCCTTGATAATGGTGTCCTATCAGTATTTGTTTTCGATAAACATTCCCAATATTAGGTTATCAATCCCTTCAGTACTTTGCCAACTTTATGATTGTAATTACGATTCTAGAAGTTTCTTTGTTAATATCAACATCTGCAGTTTTTGGATGAATTTAATTAGATGATCATTAACATGTGTTGAACTAGTTAAGCGTGTGTTCAGAAAAGAACCTTTCCACTTATCGAATTGATAGTGTTTTTTGGACAGAAAGTTACTAGCAAATGGTTATTATGTGTAGGCAGCAGTGGAGTAACTTCAGATTACTTTCACTGATTTCTTATTGTGAAAAAGATTGGCGCCTAATGGTTTTAAATATATATTTTCCTCACCAACTACTGGTTTTTGCCTCGGTTGTCTGAGATGGTGGAGAAGATTTGTAGCTCAGGTGGATGATTTTGGTGGAGCTTTGTTCTCTGAGCTGGATGGTTTGGTCGTGGAGCTTTCATCGTTTGTGCTGATGATGTCGTTCAGAAGAACGATGAAAGCTCCACGACCAAACCATCCAGCTCAGAGAACAAAACTCTACCAAAAAAAAGCCTCGGTTGTCGTTAGGTAATGACACAGTATTCTTATTGACTATAGTTTGCTAGACTGACATGATATTCTTAAATACTCAACTCATTTTTTGTATATCTACAGCCTAATTAAGCAATGTGACATATTATCTTACTTTACTGTGTCAATCGTAAATTCCTTCTCTAAGAATTATCAAGGTAATAAGCTTCTTCTGGTCCACTAACTAGAATCGTTCTAAGCAGAAGTGTTTTATAATAAACTCAATATTTAAATCACCTTTAAATGTGTTAAATATCCTACGCTCGTGCGATAACAGACATTCCTATTTTAATATGATTACCTATTTGGTGAGTACCGTTTGGAATATCGTCGATATGAAACATGAAATGAAGATGATCATTTGTGTCTAACTACACATATTCACCACATAGACCTTTATTCTTGTAGGTTGCCTGTCCCTGTACTTGGTCAATTCTGATTATGTCGTAAAGCAAAATCTTACGAAATTCAATACAATTTACTACAGTTACCTGAATTCTCACCCTACAATGATTGGAAGTGTAACAATTGTGCTGGTATTTCTTATTAGTAGATGTAATAAGTGACGCAGACGGTTGATTGAACACTAAAGATCATTGCAGAAGAATGGTTACCTAAACGCTAGTTTGAACGTTATAAGCTATTACGAAGTTTTGAAAAGGCAATTATATTGTTAGAAATCTATTCGCATATTGACAAGTCCTAGCTGCCCCGTTCAAGTTCAATCACGATCTGACAATGACTTTTTGGTAAATTAAGTATTCTTTATTGGCTCCAAATATGCTATTGACAACTGTTTTATGAGCTTAGATAAGAAAAAATTGCACATCGGACCAGAGGAAAGTCGGGTTTTTGGAACTGTAGCTTGCAACTGATGGAGCCAGTACAATCACAACATTGTTGTAATGTGTAGCAACTAGTAAAGTAACCGGCGATATCCAACCTGTATTTTAATATTTTGTTTAAGTTCAGTTCGTTGTTTTTCTTCAGGGAGTCGTGATTTATATCTTACCACTTTGTGCTCTGTCATAATATGGAGCCTAGTGCAAATATGTATTTAATGGGTTGAACAGCACAAGAGTAGAAATAATCAAGGGAAAAGCGAGAATGAAAGGTATTAATGAAGGGGTACTGGGACTCATGATCTAGAAGACGATAGAACGAGTTCATCTGCTCGATTGACCAATCCTAAGCCATGATTTCTTGCTAGTCATTTTAACGTATAAGAACGGAAAATAAATTGAATGCTCTGTTAGGTATTCCAACAAACCGACATCTGGATTAGACAATGCGAATTTTCTGCTCTGTCGTATGTTTCGTAGTAAAAGTATAAGCTTATTTTTTCTCTAAGGAACTTTGCCAAGGAATAGTGCTCAAGTGAAGTGTGAGATTTAACGGAAATTGTCGAATATCGTTGACAACCAATGTCATGAAAATTTGAAGTGTCCATACTAGCTCATTGGTAAGTATCTTGTGATGTACCGAAGATACCACGAACCAAATGCGTTATTACTTGAAAATGTGGAAAATTGGTGAACAAATTCTAGTTTTCGTTGCGTTTCTCTACAGAATCGATTGGAAGCTTATAACTAAAATAAGAGTGAAGCATTGATTATTCTGCTTGAGAACGGAAAACGCTAAGTATTTAGGTCTCATTCTTTAGCTTGCAACAGTCCAACTAAGTCGCTGCACTTACGTACGCATGTTACCCTTTGTGGAGCATAGGCTGTCGCTATATATGTCCCATTGATGTTTTATTGTCAATTAGAGACTTTGTAAGCTATCTTCAGATCATCTTAAAAGAAACCTGTATTTGCTGTTGGTATTGTTGAGTAGTCACAGGGTTGTAAGGTAGGATAACGGTTCAGCAGTTGTACTGCTCATTCTAAATTATTTGGATATGTGATTCGATAGGAGTTATTATTAGTTCACAGTTATATAATATACCCTTGTGGGCCAGGGTAATTTTACATTGGTTTTCGGGAGAACCAGACACCATCCGGACTTTCACGTAAAAACCCAAACAGTACAGCTCAACCCCGTTTAGTAGGGGAACCAGACACTGTACAGGCTTTAACGCTACAATCTGAATAGTACAGCTCAATCCTGTGGCGCAGCCACACAGGTACCAAGCACCCTGGTGGACCAGATTCGATAGGAGGGGAATGTTATTTACAAATATGAATTGTCTCACGCTTCATAATTATTTGACGAGTGACCACGTTTGGTACGTGCTATCTGCATGATAAACTCGCTCTATTCAAGGGTAATTAAAACATTTCCTTTGAAGTGTAAATACTGTTCAGGGATAAATTTAATAACTCTGTGGTAGGTGTAGCGTTAGTGACTGAAGTTCTCTGTGCTTTAAATTTACCTCTGGAATTCACAAGTAAAATACTCAACTGGGAGGTTGATTAGGAACGGTAGGTATCAGTTGTCTGACTGCTAAATTCATTTAAGATATTGTAGTATTCTAACTGAATTAGCAAGATATTGTGAATTTATTTACTTGGATTTCCCGGGGTATCAACGTTTGTCACAGCATTCTTTTCATATTCGGAGCCATTATCCTATCCTGTTTCAAATCGTTTACTGTTATTTTACCTGGCTGATTTCTCATTAGTTTCTCTGATTGTCTGGGGGATATGTTTTTAAAAACTTTCACAATCGACTCTTGCTTTTATGCTATCCAAAGTGATCTGAACGTTTGGATCAATAAAAATGTAGAACAGTAGCCTTTGGATTCAGATCAAAACCTGAAGACTCATCTCCATGAGCTTACTCGAATATTAATATATTAGGGTATTGATTGATCAAGTAGAAGTTTTGCTGCTTCAAATTATTGTTGAACTTTAGTTTCTCATTCACAGGTGAGATATTATTTACTGATATTCATGAAGCTGATCAGGATTTAGATTATCAACAGTAAATTTATCAGATCAATATCTCAGTGAATGTGCCAAGCCAGTAACTAACTTGAAACGAAAGATAGTTCAGCTGTGGAAGTGTA